CTGAACCCTGGAGCTGTATCGATTGAATATCTGGAAACGCTTGATCTCTTGTCAGGAACAGGGTGCAGCATGGAATCACTGCACAACATAAGCATTGTCTATGGGAATAACTCAGCTTCCTTTGGTTTCTTGAAACTATATAACCAGAAACAGAGTTTGATCGAATTCAGCATGAACAGTTAACAGTGTGAACTTCCCAGACAACAGGAACTCACGGAAATAAAAAAAAACTTCCACTTCAAACAAAAAAAAGAAAGAAGGAGAAAGTGGAAGCTTTTGTAATGGATGGTGTCTAAAGGACAGAAAGGAGAGCAGTTTAGTTGGAGAAGAAAGGTGAGAAGATCTTTAGAGTGGAAAACTATGGACCGAGTGAGGGTTTATGTATAGCAGAAGCAAAAAGGCCTAAAAAAAAAATAATTTAAACTTTTTTTTTTATAAGTATGTTGTAATAAAAAAACAACAACTACATAACCGACAGCTTTGAAAGAATGCTTGTCTGAAGCGTCCCAGAAATTATTCCACAAACCATGGCCCACCTGAGACTAAAAGCACTTGGCGACTTTAAACTACTTGCCGTTTACACGGTGCAGCTGCAAACACCATGCCGTCTTTTCCTTTCTAAATAACGCTCTTGCTCGTATGTCATATATGTACATGGTAATATATATGTATGTATATATTTGCATTTAGTAAATTTTCAAGGCACAAACCGAACTCATCACAGTGGCTGCGATCGATTTTTTTTTGGGTTTAAAAAAACACAAATGTAGAAAGTGATTGAATTGGGTTTATATATTTGAGTATACTTATGGCTCAAAAGGCCCAAACCAATTACTATTGAGATTTATCTGATTACCGTTCATTTTTTTTAAACTTTTTTACTGTTATTTATAATGTTGAACTTTTAATTACAAATTAGGGTAAATCTCATGAAAATTTAAATTCCTAAACTTGTAAAATGGTAGAAAGTTAAACCCAAAAAATAAATTCATCAACTTGCAAATTATATTATTGGAATGCTACCGTTTTTGACCAATTTTGACTCGTAAATACCAACTTACGTGGATTCCACGTCATGAGTGCTACATCAGAATGAATTAATTGGCGCATCATCAATTCTCAAAATTAAATAACCGATAAAAATTAAACCGGTTCAGGGTTAACCGGCTCATTTAAAAAGATTTAAAAAACCCCATAAACTTTTTCCCCCAAATCGAACTCTAACCCTTCTTCCATAGTCGAACCCTAACCCCTCCTCTTCGTCTTCTTCGATTTCGTCTTCTTCTTCGGCTTCTTCCATTTCGTCTCTTCCTGGGCTTCTATCCCTTCTTGGGTTTTTCATCGGCTTTCGAGTTTTTCGACTTCATCTCCGGGTTCGTTTCTATCCCTTTCTTCGACTTCTATCGCTTCTGGGTTGTGGCAGGCTGTGTTGATTTTCTGGGTTGAAACCCTAAACCCTAACCCCGTTATGTTATGTCGAACAGATGTTGGTTTATGTTATGTTGAATCTATGTTCAGTAAAATGTTATGTTAAATAAATCTTAATCATAAGCGTAATGTTGTGATGAATTTTTGTTCGTTGTTTACGATCAGTGGCATCATTTTGACAAGTTCATGGTTAATGGTTGAATAGCCTAAAAATTGCTTGAATTTGAGATTGTCTCCTAATGAAAAGAGTAGGCCTGGAGATTGGAATTTTGAAGGTTTGGCTCCTCTTACACGAGAGTTCAAGGGGCTGCTTTACTAATTAATTGAAATTTTAGTTTAGTATGCAGTCTATGATTCGACCTAGTTCTTGAAGTGTTAGACTTAGTTTGATATGCAGTCATTGATCACATCTTTGGTTCGTTGTTTGTTTCGATGCAGGGAGAATGGGGAGCAACGATTTAAAGACCTGGGTCTCGGATAAGCTGATGGTTCTACTGGGTTATTCACAAAATGCCGTAGTTACATATCTCATTGCAAAAGGTAGGTTGCCATTTTTGTTTCTGGTCCTGAAGCTAACGAAACATTCTTTGGATGTTGTTGTATGTTATAAATGGAGTTTTCTCGGTGCAGCTAAAAGTTCGAAATCACCCACTGACCTTCTGAATGAGTTGGCGGAGTATGGCTTTTCTTCATCAAGTGAAACTCGTTCATTTGCTGAGGAAATGTATGCCAGAGTTCCCCGAAAAGTGACTGGTGCGAATGTGAGTTTCTGAATATGGATGTCATGTTTTTGGTTGAAAGTTTTTGTTGATTATATGGCTTAATCATAATTCTAATTTTGGATTGTTTTTGGTTTCTTTTTCCATCAGCTTTATAAGCAACAGGAAGCAGAGGCCGCTATGCTGGTGAGGAAGCAGAAAACATACGCTCTTTTGGATGCCGATGATGAAGAAGATGAAGATGGGGGCACTATTGATCAAAAACGGTCTTCTGCTTCTGAAACTAAAAAATCAGATAAAGGCAGGAAAAGGTTCAGAAAGAAAAGCGGGCATTCAGAAGATGATGATGACGAAGTATAGTTTTTTTCTCCTCACTGACAGATTTCCTTATCGTTCTTACTGTTACACATAGCTTGCAATCTCTTCTGATTATGTGATACTTGTTTTGAATGAATGCAATGATTTAGGTGGCTGTTAAAGATGATGATAGGCAAGTTAAGAGAAGAATTTCTCAAGATGAGGATGATGGGTCAGAGGTATATCTGACGACTCAAGGGTGCTTCTGTTTCAGTTTTTGTTTGGATCTTGGTAGTCTGTATTGCATAAATCCATCACTTCACATTAATTATTGTTTGTTTGTGAGTAGTTATCTGTGTGTGGTAAGAATCAATTTTTATATATTCTAATTGTTGTTAACACCTTTTTGCTGCGTATGTGGCATGCAGTCTGAAGAAGAAAGGTTACGTGACCAGAAAGAGAGAGAGGAGTTGGAGCAGCACTTAAGAGATCGTGATGCTGCACGAACGCGGAAGGTATGCCTTAGTAAAAATCTTTCACTTATCAATATATTCTATTATATAATCTATGATCTTTTTGTTAGTAACGTTTCCCCTTGATTGTTTACATGTGCAGCTAACAGAGCAAAAGTTGTCAAAAAAAGAGCAAGGTATGGAATTAACATTCCTTTGTTGCATGGAAATATAGAAAATATTATTCCATGTTGTGGTTTCATTTTGGACTTTTTTCCATCACAAAACAGAAGAGGCTGTTCGAAGAGCCAATGCTTTGGAGGAGGATGATATTGGGCCTTTAAGGTACTTTCAGTGTTTTCCTTGATGAATTTGCCTTGCTCTTTTTGTGTTCGTACCTCGTTCAATTGCTTTGAGAGAGAGATGCATAGATAGAGTAGTTGCCAAGCATGATTGTCATAAGAGCAACAGTGAAGAATGTTCCAGTGCATGCACTGTTACATCCTGGGTCGTAATTGCTATAGAAAGTTGCAGTTGCGATGTCCATTGATTATAGTTTTAGTGAGGAGTTTGGATGAAACTTCTGCTCTCCCAGTTACCAATGTTTTACTCTGTTCCCACTGGTTGAAGTGATCTTCGAAGGCTAGTTTACACTGTAATTGTTGTCTATTGTCCTTTTGGGTTCTGTTTCAGGAAAGTCTCAAGACAAGAATATTTGAAGAAAAGGGAACAGAAGAAATTAGACGAACTAAGGTATATGACTATGTCCTTCTTTCCTCGAAGAAAGGTTTTCGGTATTAAATTTGACTTCTGTTTCGTTATTTTCATTTTTGCTCTCTTTTTTCCACTGACTCTTCTCCTTTCCTCCTCCTCTCTTCAGGGATGAGATAGAAGATGAGCAGTATCTTTTTGAAGGTGTTAAGGTCACTGAAGCAGAAATTAGGGAATATAGGTAAGCGTTATATCTTTCTTGGTTTATTCCTACGAATTACCAGGTAACACAGTGTCATGGTTGTATTTACATTCAAAAGGTTATATCAGTTACTGGTGTCTTTTTCCTGGTTAACCGAACAAGGTTCAATCCGATATCTTGACAGGCACAAGAAAGAACTTTATGAGCTCTTGAAGAAAAAAACAGAAGACACAGATAATGTAGAGGAGGTAATGTTTGCATTTTCCTGAGTTCTTTCTTTGGTTCATGGCCCTCTGAATATATCCTTGTTATGTGGCATGCTTCAAGGGGCGTTTGATTCGGATGTTGTTCATCTAAAATTTTGAGCATCATTAATCCTGATAACACTTATCTCACTTTCTTCCAACCCTCTGAGTTCAGTATAGAATGCCAGATGCTTATGATCTAGAAGGGGGTGTTAACCAAGAGAAGAGATTCGCTGTTGCTGTGCAACGATACAGGTGAGGTGACAGTGTGCTGCAAGTAATCCTGCTCGTTCTTTTCTTCTTACACCAGTGATATCTCTTTTTTTTATGCAAAATGTTTAAGGGCATCTGAAATATCTTATTTGATTAGGGATCTAGATGCTTCGGACAAAATGAACCCGTTTGCTGAGCAAGAAGCTTGGGAGGACCATCAGATTGGTTAATCTCTTGTTTACTTCTTTGACTACATTCTTGTCTCTAGTATACCTTGATGTAATTGTCATTGTCTGATTTTGTTGTGCAGGAAAAGCGACACTAAATTTTGGTGCCAAGAATAAGAAGCAAACATCTGATGATTATCAGTATGACTTGTTGCTTATTTGCTCTTTTGTTTTTCTTCTGCCATTATCGCAAGTATTTTTAATGTCATCTTGCAAAGGTTTTCTGTGAACTTTTTTTCTTACCATGATTTGAGGATTTGAAGTAATTTCCCTGTAGGTACGTTTTTGAGGACCAAATAGACTTCATAAAGGCGTCTGTCTTGGCTGGTGAAAATGTAGGCCGGTTATGTTTCTTGAGCATGATGTATGCTTCGGTCATATGCTGATATAAAGCTAACTCCATGTTTTTGTCATTGCAGTATGAAGATGAGATGCCTACTGAACCGTCTCAAGATTCCAAGGCAAAGTCAGATTTTGAGATGCTTCAGGTGCTAGCTTCTTCTCTTTTCCTCATTTACTTTGTTTAATCAATTAAATCTCCCAAGCCTCTTTTTAGGATATTTTTATTGGGAAGAAATTCATGTGAACTATAATAGTTTCCTTTTATCAAGTTCCTAGCAGAGATCAAATCGTATTCTGATAGATTCTTTCATTTAATATTTATGTATTAGGAGGAGAGAAAATTACTGCCAATTTATCCATATCGTGATGAACTGCTTGCGGCTGTGGAAAAACATCAGGTAATTCTAACTGTCATGTCTTTGCCATTGTTTTTAAATGGCGTTCAAAATCATTTCATGACATGAAGGATGGGTTCTTTCTATCAATCGATGCCAAAAATAGTCCTGTTCGGACATTAGATTTTTGTGGATTGAATTGTTTGGTAATGGAAGTATCCAAGTTTGATCTTTCCTTAATTGTTTCTGCCCTTTTACATGTAATAAAAACTTCTTCTTTTTTTCTTTCAATTTTATGCTGCCAGGTTCTTATCATTTTGGGGGAAACTGGTTCAGGCAAGACTACGCAATTACCACAATATCTTCACGAAGCTGGTTACACAAAGCGTGGAAAGGTACTGCTTACTACTTGTCCCTAATTGCGGCCGCATTTATTCCCTTGAACACATAAACAGAGGAGTTTTTGGCGTAGAACTTGTCTATAAATTGGTTAATGTTATCAATTTGTTAAATGTAAGTAAACATAACCTTTCATTGCTTTGCATCGGAGTTTTCCATATTTATCAGAAGCCAGTTTTTTAGAGGCCCAATTGCATTTAGGAAAAGAGCATTTGTGTATGACCTGTGGTTGGATGGCTTGAAAACTTTAGAACTGGTCGTAAAGCAGTTCTCTTTTATCAAATACAGATTGGTTGTACGCAACCTCGAAGAGTTGCAGCTATGAGCGTTGCTGCTCGTGTTGCTCAAGAAATGGGTGTCAAGCTTGGGCATGAGGTACGTTGGTTTTTGTCAGTTTTCACATTGTTTGAATGTCTTTTGCTGCTAGCAATTGATTGTTACACAATGGTCGTGTAATCAATGCAAGGATTTTAAACCCATGCTTATCATTTACAGGTTGGGTATTCCATTCGGTTTGAAGATTGTACCTCAGAAAAAACAGTTCTGAAGTATATGACTGATGGGATGCTGCTGCGTGAGCTTCTTGGAGAACCAGATCTTGCTGGTTACAGGTAATGGATATTCATGCCCTGCCATAATTTTGTATGAGAAATATTAAAACTGCTCTGCTTACTGATCGCAAACCTTACAGTGTCATTATTGTGGATGAGGCTCACGAAAGAACTCTGTCAACCGATATACTATTCGGGCTAGTCAAGGCAAGCTAATTTTTCATACCACATATTGTTTACTCATGTTGTCAGGGCCAGATCTTTGGGATATTCTGATTGTGGCTTCTTATTGTGACAGGATATAACACGGTTTCGACCAGATCTGAAATTATTGATATCCAGTGCGACAATGGATGCAGAAAAATTTTCTGATTATTTTGATTCTGCCCCGTTATTCAGAATTCCTGGAAGGAGATATCCGGTTGTGATTCACCATACAAGAGCACCGGAAGCGGACTACCTGGATGCGGCTATAGTTACAGTGCTTGATATCCATGTGAAACAGCCACTTGGAGATATTTTGGTCTTCCTCACTGGTCAAGAGGAAATTGAAACTGCTGACGAGATCTTGAAGCACAGGATAAGAGGTCTGGGTACAAAGATTCGCGAACTTATTATATGCCCTATATATGCAAACCTTCCCACTGAACTGCAAGCAAAAATATTTGAACCAACTCCAGAAGGGGCACGGAAAGTAGTGCTGGCAACGAATATTGCTGAAACATCATTAACCATTAATGGTATTAAATATGTTATTGACCCGGGCTTTTGCAAGATGAAGTCGTATAACCCGAGGACTGGGATGGAGTCTTTGCTTATAACTCCTATTTCTAAGGCTTCAGCAAATCAACGAAGTGGTCGAGCAGGAAGAACAGGTCCAGGAGAGTGTTACCGATTATACACGGCTTATAATTACTACCAGGACTTGGAGGACAATACAATGCCGGAAATACAAAGGACGAACCTTGCTAGCGTGGTGCTTGCTTTGAAGAGTCTCGGAATTCATGATCTGCTCCACTTTGACTTCATGGACCCCCCACCTGCTGAAGCTCTTCTCAAGGCTTTGGAGTTGCTCTTTGCTTTGGGTGCTCTGAATAAACATGGTGAATTGACTAAAGTTGGCAGAAGGATGGCAGAGTTTCCACTTGATCCTATGTTATCCAAGATGATTGTTGCTTCTGACAAATACAAGTGCTCTGATGAAATAATCTCGATTGCCTGCATGTTGTCTGTGGGAAATTCAATATTCTACCGCCCTAAGGATAAGCAAGTTCATGCCGACAATGCAAGATTGAATTTCCATACCGGGAATGTCGGTGATCACATTGCTTTGCTTAAGGTTGGTATTTTGTGTTCTCCTCTGACACTGTCTATGTTTTTTGTGTTTAAAAGTCGCGTTTGATATTCTACTTGGGCATATGTTGTTCAAATTGTTACTGGGTTGTGCTCCCCCCCCCCCCCCCCTCATGAATGAGAAGGTTTTACAGTTAGAAATTTATGTTTACCATCTCTATTTGTGTTGTTCTGAAGGTTTACAGTTCTTGGAAGGAAACAAATTACTCAACTCAATGGTGCTATGAGAACTACATTCAGGTATATTCTCTTCTCCATTTTCCTGCTCCCTATTAGTGTTTTATTATTATTTTGTTTAAACATTTTGCATAACCCATTTTGGGTATACTTGTTCATTTGTCCCTTTTCAGGTCAGGAGTATGAAAAGGGCCAGAGATATACGGGACCAACTGGAAGGGCTTCTCGAGAGAGTTGAAATAGAACTCACCGCCAATCTGAACGACTATGATTCAATAAAGAAGTCTATAGTAGCTGGTGCGGATTTCTAAATCCTCCATTTAATAATTATCGATTTTCAACTTCGTATGGCATGCTTGCTCTTTTCTTTTCCTAACAAGCTTGTTTACTTTCTCAGGGTTCTTCCCACACTCGGCCAAATTACAGAAGAATGGGTCATATAGAACAGTGAAACATCCACAAACCGTATACATACATCCTACTTCAGGACTATCTCAGGTTAGTACACTGTCCTAAATCACACGTCTGTGTGTTAATGAATCGCAGAATCTGATCCTGAAAAATCAATTGAAAATTTGTTGGTTTGGGCCTCAGGTATTACCAAGATGGGTGGTATATCATGAACTTGTCCTGACCACCAAGGAATATATGCGCCAGGTGAATAAATGTTTTTCTTGGGTTCATACTTTCGTTCATGAACTGATGAGCATAATCCTAAATTTGTCCGAACCTGGGGATTGTTTCAGGTGACAGAGTTGAAGCCGGAGTGGTTGGTGGAAATAGCTCCTCACTTCTACCAACTCAAGGATGTCGAAGACGGTAAGCAAAATAATTTTCCTCTTGGTCCAAATGTTTGTTTGTCGTTCTGTTTCCCTCCTGAGAAGCAAATTAGTTTTAAGTCTCTAATAAAACATTGGGGTTGTTAACGTTTCGTAGGTGGATCCAAGAAAATGCCCAAAGGCAATGGACGAGCAGCCGCCTTGTAGGGTTTGTGCTGTGTAATTAAAATTTTGCTGCTTAACCTGTAACTTCAATACGAAAAATTTTATTAGATACTATGAAAGTAGTTCTCTTTATGTTGTTTGAAAAAATATTTATATTTTCAAACATCAATTATGTACAAAGGGTTCTTGAATGGATAGATTTTTCGAAATGTTTTTAATCTAAAAACGTAAGTTGGTTACCAAAATTTTGAAAAATTATTTGGATGAAAAAATCAATTAAGAAAATCAATTTTTTAAATTTTCAAATACCCAAAAATAAAAATATCAAAATCAAAAATTTAAATTAAAACTTTCCATTCTATAAAAAGTTTTAATCTTGAAAAAGAATCAAACAAAAAATCTATCTCAAACCAAATTTGAAATTGATCTACTTTTATAAAGTATTATATTATCAAAATATCTCTAAACACATTTAGTGATTCAATTTATATTTTTCATATAAGTTTGATTTTTATAAATTATATTAACTATATACATATGACTTAAATATTAAATTATGTATATAGTTAATATAATTTATAAAAATAAAAATTATTTAATTTCGTAAAATTTAAAATTAATTTCTTTAATCCAAAAACTATCGAATGCTAAATAAAATACATTATATTTTAAGCACAGTGGTGCGCGTGGATGGGTCCAATAGCTTTTATGGATCCTTATAAATTGATTAAGAAATGTATTAGTTCCATTTCACTACCCATAATTTTTTTGTATTATTATTAAATATTGAACTTTAACCGAACTTCCTAATTAAATTAAGTACAACATTCAACTCTCTGATTTCCGCATTAAAATATAAACCATGTTCAAACGCACATATGAAAACTGAATTTTCCAATTTTTAACATATTTCTAACTCCAGATTAACATCGTATGGTGACGTTGAATTTACACGTTGAATTTAGATGACGTAGCTATGAGTGGTTTGAGCATTCGTGTAGAAATTTGAATCAATTTTGAAAATTGAAAATACTTATAAAAGTGTCAAATCTGATCCGACCAAATATTATGGGAAGATTCCAACTAATACGACCATAGGTTTTGGTAGATCGGTTTCAATTCTTTCCCTTTTCTTCATGTATTTTTTTTTTTGAAGTTGCAATGAGAGTGAAATATAGGAGACTTAATTTTTTAAGTTCTACGCAGGTAGGTAACGTTTATTTCACACGTTTTAATTAATTAAGGATATACATGTCTTTTCCCATTTACTGAAGGCTAAAGTAGACATTTACTAATTCGTTCTAATTTGCGTGATTTGCCCGTCTCCTTATAAATTGAGCCGAAAATTTCAAACTACTGTTTCTTGCCATTTTTGCGGTTTCTTGAGGATCCAGCTACAGGAGAACCAAGGACGGAGAGCTTTCTCCCCTTTTTCAGCCTCAACTCAGCTGCCGCTTCCCGAGATCACTCAGGCTACCAGTAACAATGGTACGATTCTCTGTAAACCCTTTTTATTTTCGGTCGAATTTGTTTTTGGTCGCTGCTCAGTAAATGGATTTCTCGCCTAGCATCTGTTCACATAGGAAATTAGGGATAGTGGTTTGCTTAAGTTCGATTGCTCGATTTGGTGAAGGGGATTCGTATTTGCTCGGATTTCCGAAAGAACTAGGAGTTTATATAAGTCAGAATTTCTCTTTTATACTTAACTGATTTATGCATCCTCCATAATCTAATCTCGTTGCTTGCCGGAAATATTCACTTGGGGTAACTGTTGTTGTGTGAAACTTTGATTTTGCTTAAGTTCGATTGTTTGATTTTGCTGGAAGAGATTTGCATCCGTTCGGATTTTCCAAAGTAAAAGTTATATAAATCAGAATTATCTTTTATACTATATTGATTTATGCATCCTCCAAAATCTAATCTCGTTGCTTGCTTGAAGTTTTCCCTTGGGTTTGCTGTTTTTGTGGTCATTTGGTTTCAGACCAAGAGAACGAGGAGGGACAGAATTGTCGGCGGCAAGTTCTATATACTTTTTCTTTTTGTTAGTAACGTTTTCCTTTGTTTTATATGTGTGCAGCTAACAGAGCAAAAGTCGTCAAAAAAAGAGCAAGGTATGGCCTAAGGAATCAACATTCCTTTGTTACATGCAAATATAGTCAATATTATTCCATGCTGTGGTTTCATTTTGGACTTTTTTTTTCCATCACAAAACAGAAAAGGCTGTTCGGAGAGCCAATGCTTTGGAGGAGGATGATATTGGGTCTTTAAGGTACGTTCAGTGTTTTCCTTGATGAATTAGCCATGCTCTTTTTTTGTTCGTGGCTCGTACAATTGCTTTGAGAAAGAGAGATGCATAGATAGAGTAGTTGCCAAGCATGATTGTCATAAGACCAACAATGAAGAATGTATCTGTGCATCAACTGTTACATCCACGGTTGTAATTGCTATAGAAAGTTGCAGTTGTGATGTCCATTGATTATAGTTTTGCTGAGGAGTTTGGATGAAACTTCTGCTCTCCCAGTTACCATGTTTTACTGTGTTCCCACTTGTTGAAGTGATCTTTGAAGGCTAGTTTACTGTAATTGTTGTTCATTGTCCTGTTGGGTTTGTTTCAGGAAAGTCTCAAGACAACAATATTTGAAGAAAAGGGAACAGAAGAAATTAGACGAACTAAGGTATATGACTATGTCCTTTTTTCCGTAAAGAAATGTTTTCCGTTTCAAGTGTGACTTCTGTTTTGTTATTTTCATTTTTGCTCTTTTTTCTTTCACTGACTCTTCTCCTCTCCTCCTTTCCTCTTCAGGGATGATATAGAAGATGAGCCACATCTTTTTGAAGGTGTTAAGGTCTCTGAAGCAGAAATTAGGGAATATAGGTAAGTGTTATACCTTTCTTGGTTTATTCCTAGGAATTACCAGGTAACACAATGTCATGGTCGTATTCACATTTAAAAGGTTATATCAGATACTGGTGTCTTTTTTCCTGGTTAACCGAACAAGGTTCGATCCGATATCTTGACAGGTACAGGAAAGAACTTTCTGAGGTCTTGGAGAGAAGAACAGAAGACACTGATAATGTAGAGGAGGTAATGTTTGCATTTTCCTGGGTTCTTTCTTTGGTTCCTTGCCCTCTGAATATATCCTTGTTATGTGGCATGCTTCAAGGGGCATTTGATTTGGATTTTGTTCATCTCGACTTTTGAGCATTGTTATACATGATAACACTTACTTTACTTTCTTCCAAGTTCCAACCCTCTGAGTTTAGTATCGAATGCCAGATGCTTATGATCTAGAGGGGGGTGTTAACCAAAAGAAGAGATTCGCTGTTGCTGTGCAACGATACAGGTGAGGTGACAGTGTGTTGCAAGTAATCCTGCTCATTCTTATCTACTTACACCCGTGATATATCTTTTTTATTACGCAAAACGTTTAAGGGCATACTAAAATATCTTATTTGATTAGGGATCCAGATGCTTCGAACAATATGAATCCCTTTGCTGGGCAAGAAGCTTGGGAGGACCAGCAGATTGGTTAATCTCTTGTTTACTTCTTTGACTACATTCTTGTCTCTAGTTTACCATGATGTAATTGGCGTTGTCTAATTTTGGTGTGCAGGAAAAGCGACACCAAATTTTGGTGCAAAGAATAAGAAACAAGCATCTGGTGATTATCAGTAAGACTTGTTGCTATTTGCTCTTTTGCTGTTCTTCTACCATTGTCGCAAGTACTTTTTAATGTCGTCTTGCAAAAGTTTTCTGTGGACTTCTTTTTACCATGAGTTGAGGATTGAAGTAAATTTTTTGTAGGTATGTTTTTGAGGACCAAATAGACTTCATAAAGGCATCCGTCTTGGCTGGTGAAAATGTAGGCCGGTTATGTTTCTTGAGCATGATGTATGCTTCGGTCATATGCTGATATAAAGCTAACTCCATGTTTTTGTCATTGCAGTATGAAGATGAGATGCCTACTGAACCGTCTCAAGATTCGAAAGCAAAATCAGATTTTGAGATGCTTCAGGTGCTAGGTTCTCTTCTTTTCCCATTTACTCTGTCTATTCAATCAATTCTCCCAAGCCTCTTTTTAGGATATTTTTATTGGGAAGAGGTTCATGCGAACTATAATATTTTACTTTTATCAAGTTCCTAGGAGAGATCAAAGCGTATTATGGTAGGTTCTTGCATTTAATATTTATGTATCAGGAGGAGAGGAAATGCCTGCCGATTTATCCATATCGTGATGAACTGCTTGCGGCTGTGGAAAAACATCAGGTAATTCTAACTTTCATATCGGTGCCATTGTTTTTAATTTACCAACTATATGCCAAAGAAAGCCGTTGTCCAAAATTATTTCATGACAAGAAGGATGGGTTCTTTCTATCAATCTGTGTCAAAAATAGTACTGTTCAGACATTGGATTTGAGTGGATTGAATTGTTTGGTCATGGAATTATCCAAGTTTTGCTCTTTCCTTAATTGTTTTCCCCCCTTTTACATGTAATCAAAAGTTTTTTTTTCATGCTGCCAGGTTCTTATCATTTTGGGGGAAACTGGTTCAGGCAAGACTACCCAATTACCACAATATCTTCACGAAGCTGGTTACACAAAGCGTGGAAAGGTACGTCCTACTACTTGTCCTTAATTGCGGCCTATAGTTTAATGCATTTATTCCCTTGAACACATAAACTGAGAAACTTTTGGCGTAGAAGTTGTCTATAAATTGGTTAGTGTTATCAATTTGTTAAATGCAAGTGAACATAATCTTTCATTGTTTTGTGTAGAGTTTTTCGTATTTATTAGAAGCCAAATTGTTACAGGCCGGGGGTTGTTTAGGAAAAGAACATTTGTGTATGACCTCTGTTTTGGATGGCTTGAAAGTTTTAGAACTGGTGGTAAAGCAGATCTCTTTTATCAAATACAGATTGGTTGTACGCAGCCTCGAAGAGTTGCAGCTATGAGTGTTGCTGTTCGTGTTGCTCAAGAAATGGGTGTTAAACTTGGGCACGAGGTATGTATGTTTTTTGTTAGTTTTCACATTGTTTAGACGTCTTTTGCTACTAGCAATTGATTTTTACACGACTGTCGATTTATCAATGTGAAGGTTTTAGACCCTATTGGTGCTAATCATTTGCAGGTTGGGTATTCCATTCGGTTTGAAGATTGTTCTTCAGAAAAAACAGTTCTGAAATATATGACTGATGGAATGCTGCTGCGTGAGCTACTTGGAGAATCAGATCTTGCTAGTTACAGGTAATGGATATTCCTGGCATAATTTTGTTATGAGACATAGCAAAACTGCTCTGCTTACTGATTGCAAACCTTGCAGTGTCATTATTGTGGATGAGGCTCACGAAAGAACTCTGTCAACAGATATACTATTCGGACTAGTAAAGGCAAGCATAATTTTCATACTGCGTACTGTTTACTCGTGTACTCAGGGTCAGATCTTTGGGATATTCTGATTGTGCCTTCTTATTGTGACAGGATATAACACGGTTTCGACCAGATCTGAAGTTATTGATATCCAGTGCGACAATGGATGCAGAAAAATTTTCTGATTATTTTGATTCTGCCCCATTATTCAGAATTCCTGGAAGGAGATATCCGGTTGTGATTCACCATACAAGAGCACCAGAAGCAGACTACCTGGATGCGGCCATAGTTACAGTGCTTGATATCCATGTGAAACGGCCACTTGGAGATATTTTGGTCTTCCTCACTGGTCAAGAGGAAATTGAAACTGCTGACGAGATCTTGAAGCACAGGATAAGAGGTTTGGGTGCAAAGATTCCCGAACTCATTATATGCCCTATATATGCAAACCTTCCAACTGAACTGCAAGCGAAAATATTTGAACCAACTCCAGAAGGGGCACGGAAAGTAGTGCTGGCAACGAATATTGCTGAAACATCATTAACCATTAATGGTATTAAGTATGTTATTGACCCGGGCTTTTGCAAGATGAAGTCATATAACCCGAGGACTGGGATGGAGTCTTTGCTTATAACTCCTATTTCTAAGGCTTCAGCAAATCAACGATGTGGTCGAGCAGGAAGAACAGGTCCAGGAGAGTGTTACAGATTATACACGGCTTATAATTACTACCAGGACTTGGAGGACAATACAATGCCGGAAATACAAAGGACGAATCTTGCTAGCGTGGTTCTTGCTTTGAAGAGTCTCGGAATTAATGATCTGCTCTGCTTTGACTTCATGGACCCCCCACCTGCTGAAGCTCTTCTCAAGGCATTGGAGTTGCTCTTTGCTTTGGGTGCTCTGAATGAACATGGTGAATTGACTAAAGTTGGCAGAAGGATGGCAGAATTTCCACTTGATCCTATGCTATCCAAGATGATTGTTGCTTCTGAAAAATACAAGTGCTCTGATGAAATAATCTCGATTGCCTGCATGTTATCTGTGGGAAATTCAATATTTTACCGCCCTAAGGATAAGCAAGTTCATGCCGACAATGCAAGGTTGAATTTCCATACCGGGAATGTTGGTGATCACATTGCTTTGCTAAAGGTTGGTATTTTGTGTTCTCCTCTGCTTCTGTCAATGTATTTTGTGTTTAAAAGTCGCGCTTGATATTCTACTTGGGCATATGTTGTTCAAATTGTTACTGGGTTGTGCTTGCTTCTTATTCTCTTAAGTCTCCCTTCATGAATGAGAAGGTTTTGCAGTTAGCAATTTATGTTTGCCGTCTCTATTTGTGTTGTTCTGAAGGTTTACAGTTCTTGGAAGGAAACAAATTATTCAACTCAATGGTGCTATGAGAACTACATCCAGGTATGTTCTCTTCTCTATTTTCCTGCTCACCAGTGCTTGTTTACCATTTTGTTCAAGCATTTTGCATAACCCATTTTGGGTGTATTTGTTCATTTGACCCTTTTCAGGTCAGGAGTATGAAAAGGGCCAGAGATATACGGGACCAACTGGAAGGGCTTCTCGAGAGAGTTGAAATAGAACTCACCGCCAATCTGAACGACTATGATTCAATAAAGAAGTCTATAGTAGCTGGTGCGGATTTCTAAATCCTCCATTTAATAATTATCGATTTTCAACTTCGTATGGCATGCTTGCTCTTTTCTTTTCCTAACAAGCTTGTTTACTTTCTCAGGGTTCTTCCCACACTCGGCCAAATTACAGAAGAATGGGTCATATAGAACAGTGAAACATCCACAAACCGTATACATACATCCTACTTCAGGACTATCTCAGGTTAGTACACTGTCCTAAATCACATGTCTGTGTGTTAATGAATCGCAGAATCTGATCCTGAAAAATCAATTGAAAATTTGTTGGTTTGGGCCTCAGGTATTACCAAGATGGGTGGTATATCATGAACTTGTCCTGACCACCAAGGAATATATGCGCCAGGTGAATAAATGTTTTTCTTGGGTTCATACTTTCGTTCATGAACTGATGAGCATAATCCTAAATTTGTCCGAACCTGGGGATTGTTTCAGGTGACAGAGTTGAAGCCGGAGTGGTTGGTGGAAATAGCTCCTCACTTCTACCAACTCAAGGATGTCGAAGATGGTAAGCAAAATAATTTTCCTCTTGGTCCAAATGTTTGTTTGTCGTTCTGTTTCCCTCTTGAGAAGCTTAGTTTAAGTCTCTGATAAAACATTGGGGTTGTTAATGTTTCGTAGGTGGATCCAAGAAAATGCCCAAAGGCAATGGACGAGCAGCCGCCTTGTAGGGTTTGTGCTGTGTAATTAAAATTTTGCTGCTTAGCCTGTAAATTTCATACAAATTTTTTTTATTAGATCCTATGAAAATGATTCTCTTTTAAGTTGTTTGAAAAATTATTTACAAAAAAAATTAATTTGTAATTGTATTACTCTGTTTAGCTCTAGTATTAAGTGATATATATATATAATGGGTTAATCCCTTGAAAAAATATATCAAAATGTTTCACATAAAATCTATTGTATCCAAAAATATCGAAAAAAATCCTAAATTTGATAATTTTTTAGATAAAAATCAGGAATTTATTATTTTATTTCATATAAAATCTTTGACTATTTTGAACAAATTTTTAGTTGATGTAACACTAACATAGGTATATTGGAATACTAAATGTATCGCCGCCATGTCAATCCCAAATCAGTATTAATTTTTTTTTTTTTGTTACAGTTTTTAATGATTTGGTTTATAGACTTTAATTGAAAGTTTTTGTTCAAGTTCAAATATTATTATGAAAGTTTTTGTTAAAATTCATGTATTGTTGTGTAATTTTTTTTTATCAAAATTTAGAAATAATGATGTTAAACTTAGTATGATATAAAATATATGAATCAGTTAAAAATAATATTTTAAATTAGTATTTAGTACTAGAATATTACATAATCAATTATAAGATATTCAAACATAAATATAAATACGTAAAAAGTTAAACCTTATAATTTGACCTAAATGCTTACTGATGTTCTTTAAAAAAATGTGATAATAGGCACTAGCTAATGGCAAACAATATTTATACGTTTTTAGTACCTCATTATAAAATATTTGATGCAGCCATTTTGAAAACAAATGGAAAAAATAGAAAAATTAACAGTAAATACGATATTTATTTCGAAAATTGTGAGAATTCGTTTTATAAATCGCAAAGATTTTATACATACAGTCGAAAGTAGAGCAAATGTATCGATTATGGCAACGGCGGGAAGATATTTCTTGCTGAAAAATTTATCTTCACGCGCCAAGATTTTGAAACCGGAGAAAACAAGCAAAAACGGTGGGTTACAATCCACCCGAAATAGGCGCGTGATGCTAACGCGCCATGCTTGCGATTGGGAGTTTGAAGTTTGAACGCTTGGGGGGGTTGTCGCGTGTTTTTTCTTCGACCTTAAAGTTATTGTTTCGCCCATAAAACTAATGGGCTTTATGGGCCTCATCATGAACTAATCTAATAAACCATAACACTGCAAATAAAAAACAATTCTTTTTTTTTGTCAATGAATAAAAACAATTCTTTAAAAAAATATATGATTATCTATTAAATTATTTTTCAAATCAACATACACAATCTTATAAATTCGAAAATTCATAAGCGCAGTTACGAACTAACCAAATCATTTTAATATAACACAAATTTAGAGAACACATCTAACAATTGGTGGTTGAAAAGGTATAAAGTCATTTTCAATATTTTGGATTCGATTCTATTGATGGAAAAAAAAAATTTCTGAACCAAAATAGTCTATATATAAATTTTGATCTCGATCCTAGAGTAGATGTAATCGGATCGAAGACCTAGATAATCATTCTGGTTATAAAAAAAAATTATCGAATACAGAAACACACAATTTTAAATTGTAATTTAAAACACATATTTGGGTGATATGATTAGTTTTTAGTGTCTGTAATATACTTTTCTTACTATTTGTCAATTTCATTAAATTCTAAGGGTCAAAATAAATCTCACTTAATATTAGAATAACATATACATATGCTCGATATCATACCCAAAAAAACATATGCTCGATATTAGAGTAATAGATGCAACAATATATTGGTTCCACTATCGAAAATTGTTTTTTTTTTTTTGTTATATTATAACATTGAAACATATGGTGAGATTTAGTACGTCATATCGGATACTTACAATGATCTATTATGTGAACTTAATATTATTATTATTATTATTATTATGACACAAGATACGATGACGGATGATCATAATGATAATAATAATTACCGTCAACGGTATTAACCATCTGAACCAATCAGAAGGTTCGGGTGACACTTTTGATCAACACCTTAAGATGAGGCCTTCAATGTCTACCATACATCTAAAGATACAAACACCAAATGGAAACTTTAAGACCCTTTTCCCTTGTACCATTAACCCATTCACAAAGGAAAAAAAGAGAGAGATGGCTCTGAGAATGTGGGCTTCTTCTACAGCCAACGCTCTCAAGCTCTCTCGCGCCTCCAAGGCTAACCTCTCTCCCGCTTTCTCCATCTCCAGATGCTTCTCCACAGGTAAATTCTCTTCCAGACATGTTTGCTCGAGAACGGTCTCTGGGAATGCTGTCTGAAATTGTTGATGGGTGTTCCGTTTCTGGGTGGATTTTGGCTTTTAGTGTTGGAGGGGCTGAAGTATGCGAGTTCACACGAGTGGGTGAAACATGAAGGCTCTGTGGCTATCATTGGCATCAGTGACCATGCCCAGGTATCCCAAAAATTAATACAGTCGCCGCATTTTTTGGCTTTTTTTCCTTGTAAAATCTCCCATCCCATTTCAGAAAGATTCGAAATTCACGAGTTTTGCCATGAACCCAGTTGTGGTTTTGCCATGAACACAGCTTAGAGCTGGTTCCCATCCCATGGAGAATCTTGTGACAAAACAAAGCACGTTTTTTTAACTATGTCAGGACCATCTAGGTGAAGTGGTGTTTGTGGAGCTGCCAGAAGAGAATGCTTCAGTTAACAAAGACAAAGCCTTTGGAGCTGTGGAGAGTGTCAAAGCCACGAGTGAAATCATTTCCCCCATCTCCGGTGAAGTCATTGAAATCAACACAAAACTCGCCGACTCGCCCGGCCTGGTATGTCTCAGAAAGCGAAGGCCTTTTGCCATGAAACCGAGCAAGATCGAAATCTATTTACCTCTATTGACAGATTTGATGAGCTCACGTCAATTGGCTTTTGTGACTTGTACAGATCAACTCGAGCCCTTATGAAGATGGCTGGATGATCAAAGTGAAGCCAAGCAGTCCCTCGGAGCTGGAATCTTTGATGGGTCCAAAGGAATACACCAAGTTCTGCGAGGAAGAAGATGCTTCTCACTAGCCCTAAAAAGAAGAAAAACAATGAAAATCCACAAACTGACCCACCATAAAGATCAATCTATCAATTCTCGTGTTTCTTTCTCCTCAGCTTGTGTGGATTACTCTCCATTTTCCTTTACATCATTCATGCCCAGAACAAAATATAGGTCAAGAGAGACCAGACAGGCTTTTATCATTTAAGACAGATATCTAACACACAGAGAACGTAGTCGTATAATTCCTGTCTTTTGGCACGTAGAAGATGACCTTTCAATACAAACTATACATTTCTGCAAACCGCTATCCATTGCTGGGCAACGGGGAAGCACCAACATCCGGTGACTGGGTGTAGGAAAGTGAGATGAGTTCAGACCGGAGTCTCTCCGCCTCATCGCCATTTTCCATGCTGATTCCACTCGTAATGTCATTGTTGCCGGGCGAAACATCTGATGGCTTAGATTCCTCTGGCGAGGAGTACGCTATCGCGATGAGAGATTCCCGGGCTTGATCCTGAGGGGCCTTTTCGCTCGGTTGTTCCATCAATGCCTGCTTCTGCAATTTGGCAAGGGGACAAGATCCATCTAACATAAGTTGATTGATATGTTGCATGAAAACAGTGAACAGACTCCACCAATATGACTACAAGATCCACATCTGAGTGATGAAAAGCATAAGTCTTTTGACAAGTAATCAGTTCAAGCTTTGTGTTTTAGGACAATTGAAAGTCACATTTTCACATAAGAGTTGTGAAAATGTGTAACACCAAATTGACCAGAGAGACAATGGAGATCTTCTTTATAAAAATAAAACAATGGAGATCTTATCCATAGAAACTTAGGACATCACAAACGTAAGAGATCAGAGCTATGCAAGTCCATGACAAAACCCAACAAAACCAATGTCTTCCTGTTTGGTTGACAAGAAAATCCTGATCAGAACTTAGAAAAGAATTCCAAATCCTGAGCTCTGGAAAATCGGTCACCGATTCCCCGTTAAAGGACCTGAAAACGTCAAAAAAAAAACGCCCATGGCCACCGATTCACGATCAGAGCGAAACAAAGTCAACGCGCATTCTTCGATTTTCCCTTATCAAAAATTTCCGTTGAGATCTTCTCGGGAAACAAACAGATACCGATAGGATTAAGACAGAATCAACAGCGGAGTAAAAAAAACCCTAACCGGCGAACCGATCAGACAACACGTACTAATCAAATCGATAAAATTTCGGCTCTTTTTAGCAATCTTCACCGTTTGTTTCGCTCGAGATTTTCTCGGGAAACAGAAGGGGGAAAAAGCGATTCAAGGAAACGGATTCGGAGAAGAGGAGCGAGCAGCAATCGGTAGATCCAAGGAAGGGGAGAAAGACGCACCTGGTTGATTCGGTCGGTAACGGGAAGTGGTAGACTTTGGTCGGCGACAAATCGGAATTCTTGCAATCTTATTGGGCACTCCCCACATGCATTTTATTCTTTATTCTATAGTTTCTGAATATAGCCTCCACCTAACTGCGGTCGACCATTTCATTTCGGTCTACGTCACCGGATGACGAATCGAATAAATATTAAAATGAATATGATTTTTTTTTTATAAAAAATATGTAGTGGGATATAAAAATAATATATTTTTATTAAATAAATGTTTTTTTCAATCAATTAGGATATCAAATTTAATATAAGCATCGATTGTAAGAGTGTTTTTATAATCGATTCTATTGGCCTGGAGGCGAATATCAGAAATTGAATGTAATGAGACGCAAACCTTATTTAACTTCATTTACATCAACTTTAAAAACGTACTCACAACTTGTACTCTTTAATTTTGATTTTTTTTTAATGGGATGTTAGTAAAGAAAATATCGTCCAAAGGAAAGATATTAATTTCATATATTTATAATTTACATATTCTTTTTACTTTTTACATTCTGCTTTTTACTCGAATTTACATTATTTTTCGTAGACCAAACTAAATATGCCAATAGATTACATTCATTTAAAAAAAATAATTATATAACTGAGTGGACCAAGGTCATATCCTTCTTTAAAATTGAAAAAAAAAATTGCATGGTACATAAAAACAAACAAAAGGTGTCCGAAATTTGCCCGACCTTCGATTTTTATTTTTTATTTTTTATTTTTTTATTTTTTATTACTATATCTCTTCCTCTGGTCGGCAAGGACCAATTCATCGAGACTTTGCAGAGATCGAAAATCCAATCTGGGAATTCTCCGTGAGTCCTCCTACTCTTCCATTTCTTTCTTTTTCTCTCGTCAATTCCGTGCTTCAATTTCGCAATTTAAGAAACCGATCCCCGATCTGATCTCTCCCTCGGCGATTTCTCTGAAAATTTTCTCGGACTTTGGTGGGTGCAGATTTTCCCAGTCTATTTTCTCTCCGTTGTATCTCGATTTTACTGTTTCTGTTTCGATATCGACTAAGGAAGGTTGATTGTTCTAGATCGCACCTGCAGTTAATACGAGGAGAAATTTGTGTAGAATCCTTTGGTACGGAAGATGATTTCGTCGGATTCGGCTTTATAGTGAAGCATGTCTGAGTTGTAGAAATAGTTTTCTACAAAAGTCAATCTGAAATTCGTTTGACCATCATATACATGCAAAGAGGTTGCTTGATTAGATTTAAACCGATGAATTGAGTAGCTGACATTTTCCTGAACGTGGGTTTTTTGGCTCAAGGATCAATCCCGGGGTTGATGAATTTAGGGCAAAACGAAGCGAAATCGCCAATCCGTTGAGTGGTAAACAAAATGGCTTGTAGAGGTTGCTTGGAGTGTTTGCTGAAGTTACTCAACTTCTTGCTGGCTCTTGTGGGGCTTGGCATGGTCGGGTATGGCATCTACTTGTTCGTGGAGTACCAGAGAGCAACGGACAATTCTCATATGGTGGCTCAGACTAGCGGTGATGGTTATATCTCACTCGGTCGTCCCATGCTCATGGCTGTCTCTTTATCAAATGATATTTTCGACAAGCTGCCTAAACCTTGGTATTTCCCCATACTCCCTACTGGTTATTAACTTCATCTGTCTATGTCTGATATTATCTTTCGACGACATTTAATTTATTTTACTTCTGTTTTTTTATTAACTTTCCGGCCTGAGATTTCTTGTTTTCTGTATTGTGTCAATGCAGGTTCATATACTTGTTCATTGGTATTGGAGTGATTCTGTTTGTTGTCTCGTGTTGTGGATGTCTGGGGGTTTGCACAAGGAATGTCTGCTGCTTGTCTTGCGTATCCTTAATGCCTGAACCTTTTTTTTATCTTAATCATTTTCCACATAGATATTTGTATATCTAAATGCATACATGTGTGTGTGTGTGTTTAACGTCACCATTTTCGTATAGGTATTTGTATATCGAAATGCATACATGTGTGTGTGACCTAAGTCATCATATCCATGCTTCTGAAACTTCTGTCTGTATTAATCTTCAAAATTGTGGCTTGTTATTTCCTTAAATTGAGCACAGTATTCTGCACTTGTGATCCTGTTGGTCGTAGTGGAGCTTGGATGCGCAGCATTTATATTCTTTGACAAGAGCTGGAAAGAGGTCAGGTTTCTTTCTGTGTCTATCCTCAAAATCGCTTGTTGCCTTCTGAAGAAAAAAACTCTGTGTAACTTGGCTCATCCTTTTGTATACTCGTTCTGTAGGAAATCCCAGCTGACAAAACTGGAAACTTCGACATGATCTATATGTTCCTGCAAGATAACTGGAAGATTGTCAAGTGGGTTGCTCTTGGAGCAGTTGTCTTGGAGGTTAGAGCATGCAGCATCGCTTAATTGGCTATCAACTTATCATTGTGTTCTCATTAATTCTATCCTAATTCAATCAAGGGCACTGTCTGATGATGGTTCAGACCAGCTACTGTCATTTATTATTGTTGTTCTGTTACTCCTCAGGCTTTGCTGTTCTTGCTGGCCCTTATGGTTAGAGCGGCTAATGCACCACCAGACTATGACAGCGATGACGATATCATTGTGCCAAGGCAACAGATCAGGCAGCCATTCCTCAACCGCCAACCCGTTACTGCAACTGGTGTCCCAGTTACTACTGCCATTCCTCAACCGCCAAGCCGGGATGATGCTTGGAGTACACGCATGAGGGAAAAGGTAAACATATATAGACAGACTCACCTACTGCAGAACCGTTATGTAAGAAAAAGGAAAAGGCTTATGGTTTGGTTTTTTCGTGGCATTGATTCAGTATGGTCTGGACACATCAGAGTTCACATACAACCCATCAGAGGCTAATAGGTTCCAGCAAATGCCTTCCCAGCAAAACGATGAACGGGGCAGCCGTTGTACCATCATGTGATGTGAGTTTCATCTTCAAACACTTCAGATTTTGTAATGTCGTCGATGGGGTAAAGAAGTAACTTTCTGTGAGGGTTCTGTTTCAAAGGATGGGTGATGAATCTCAATCTCTCGTGTGACAAGTCAGTCTTGTAAGGATTACTGGCATGGATATTATATTACCATGGTCAATCTTTGGTTCTCATTTGATTCGGTGCAATTTTTTTTTATTATAATTATTGTCTGGTGGAATTGGATAAATGAAGCCTTCAGACAAAAGACGATGTTCCTACCAGTACATGACCATATTTTCAAATTACCATATTTTTGGAAGAAATTTGTTTAGCAAATAGAAAAAATTGTGAAGGGCATCAGGTCTCCAAGGTGATTTAGCATCAAATTTGTAGTTCAGACGCAAATAACCCATTAACCATACCAGAAATTGCATCACCTGCCCAGGAGCATCTTCACAGAATTCAAAAAGACGTTCAATTACAGGAAAGTTTATAGGTTTATTCGAGGAAATTGTCAATGGAAGAAAAAAAAAAACATTTGGTTTTGGGCATCAGTTCTCCAAGGTGATAAAGCATCAAGGTAAATAATCTCAGACGCAAATTACCCATTTGTTAACATGAGATTCATCATCTGCCCAGATGAAAAAAGATGGAATTTTTTTTCAAGAAAACTTTGGAGGAAAAAAAATAAAAAAGAGACACGAGATAGGGTTTTGTAGATCGATCAGAACCTGTCGGGATTATCACAAATACATCACAGAAGTCAGGGGATTGACAGACTTGTGAATTTCTATCGTCACCTCGACCAATACCCACATCGGATTTCATTACAAAGATCAAAGATCGAAAAAAGTAAGGAGATGAAGAGAGAGAAATCTTTGGGAGGAAGAGCTGAGAACTTCTTAGAGGGATGTGTTACCGTCACCGAGGAAGATGACTTCTCATCTCTGCTACAACTATTTGCTATTATTCATCACAACAATCGAGAAATTATTTTAGAAGATATATCAATCGAAAGAAGAGAAGAACGAAACCCTAACAGAGGCTTGAACATAAATGGAGGAATAGCCAACTAAGACGACCGAAAATGGTCTTAAAGCGTAATGTATGTGTGTGTGTATATATATAAGCAGAGACGGAAACAAGAGAAAACCCTACTTCGATTATTTTTTTAACCTCCGTAATTGTGGCTGTGAGGTGAGCAGAAAAACCCTAGTTCATGTTCTGTTTCTTTTTTATTTTGGGATAAATTTACTCTTTTTAAGAAAAGAAAAGGTTTTACCATTTCACCATTCTATGTAACGGTTAAAACTTGTCAAGGGAAAATGTCTAATCAAGAGAGACGCATCTTCTAATTCAAAGAGGTCATAGAACTGTAAAATGTATCGACGGGAAACAAAATTACATCTGCAAGCCAAATCGAGCAAATGATCGAGAGAGAAAAAAGGCCTAAGAACTAACATGGAAGCAGAAAATATGATTTTGACATCGACAAACGATGGTTATACATTTTAAAAAAAAAAATCTATTGTTCTTTCTTATTGACGAACAACTTCGGTTAAGACCAGAAACCGGTCCTAAACCGACGGAACAATACCGAAAAAGACACATGTTGTCTCTGCAAAACAGCGAAAGAAGCAACTGCGACCAAAAAAAAAATGGTGGGGGGTCATAGATAAATGCTACTGACGGAGCTATCATCATGGACACGCCATATGGTCTCTCCGAGAAGATTAGCCACAGACAAAATCGTTAACTGCGGGAAGTAATTCTTCTCGGCTACCGGAAGAGTGTTCGTCACTATCACTTCTTGCAGCAAACCTCCCGATGATAGTCTCTCTATCGCCGGTGGACTGTCCCCATCCACACAAACAAGAGCAAATGATTTATAGTAATAATAAAAAAAGTTTCTGAATTTCGACATCCTTGTGGAGGATCGTGAAAAGGGTTTGTTAATGAGAACCTGAAAACGGCGTGGGTGCAGCAAGCGTAGACTTCTCTTGCGCCCTCCTGGTGTAGAAGTGCCGCTCCTTTCGCGATGGTTCCTGAAAATGAAAACGGTTATTTGTAAATCTTTGGCATGGAGCTGAATTTTGGACAGCAATAAAAAAATTTATAGGATATAGAGTTTTTGGTCTGAAAAAAGACAGATACTTGGCCAGGGATTTCACTAACCTGCGGTGTCAATCATGTCATCCACCATAACTGCTACCTTTCCTCTTACATCACCTATCAGATTCATGACCTGCAGGAAAACATCACGATGTGTATGTATATATGTGTGTGTGTGTTCGCTCAAGAACTATAAATGCATTACCTCGGCAACATTGTGACCATGGCGTCTTTTATCAACAATGGCAAGGGGAGCATCTGATAGTTTCTTTGCAAACGCACGTGCCCTGGCAACCCCTCCGACATCAGGTGAAACCACTACTAGGTCTTCCGAGGAAATTGACTTGCTTGCAAGATAGTCAAGTATCACCGGCTGAAAAAAATGATTATAAACAAACAATGGATGGAACGGATGATATCAGCATCCAAAGATTGCAACCAAGCAAACCGAGATCGTTTTCTGGAGATACCTGACATTGCACGTGGTCCACGGGAATGTCAAAGTAACCCATGGACTGACCTGAATGAATATCACAAACAAGAACTCGGTCCGCACCAGCTTCAGTGATAAGGTTAGCAACCAGTTTGGCAGCGATAGATTCACGCCCTTGTGTCTATAACACAGAACACATCCAGGAGTTAGATACAATGATGAACTCTAGCATCAGACTAATCAGGTTAAAGTACACTTAATCGGTTACTCCAGCAATTACTAAAGGAGAAAAATGGCAAAAAAAAAACAACCTTTCTGTCAGCTCGGGCATATCCAAAATACGGAATCACGGCAGTGACTTTCTTGGCTGATGCTCTACGACAAGCATCTATCATAATCAAGAGCTCCATGAGATGTTCATTCGACGGAGAGCAGGTAGGCTGCACTAAATAGACATCACATCCCCTAACACTCTCTTGCAGCTGAACATATATCTCTCCATCAGCAAATCTCTTTATGTTAACTTTTCCGAGCTCCATGCCCATACACCAAGCAATTTCCTTTACAAATTGCCAACAGCGTCAACACGCCGTATTGACCATGAGCAAGAGAAGGAAATAAACGATCACAGGTGTCAGCAATTACCTGAGCAAGTGCAGGATTTGCTGTACCAGAGAACAGTTTCAGCCTGCTGTTCATTCTGTTGACGGATTTCTCCATCCGGGCAGATTCCAAGAACTTAGGCAGTGTCCCCTCGTTGATGATGGGAATACTGGTTTTTCCATTGCCCACGTTCACTGAATCGGTGAGATCGCATTTCTTGCAAAAACAAAGCAGGCACGGAATTGTGAATCCAAACTTTTACAGACTTTGAATACAGGTTAAAATCTCCACACACAATACTCGCTTCCCCCTTTCCCAGCAACTATCCTGGAGGCAACAAGCAATTCTTTTGATGGAATGTGAACTGTATTCACCAAAGGACAGCATTTACACAGCAAGGACGAGCTCCAAAGAGCAATGTGTACTTAAACTAATGCTCGCACTCGACAGACAATATCCCTCCAAAAAGACGATTTTCAATTGAGAAACGCACTGAAAACACGAAAGACAAACCAAACACATTGCTTATATCCTCCGATCATCCCAGTGATCATAGTCTGGTGCGAAATTTACGGGGGAAAAAACAGATAAAAAGAAGGATCACGAAGTCAAATCAATAAAAAAAAAACTAAGGATTTCCAAGGATTCTGAAAAGACAATGACGCACTCCGATTCGTAGAACACGTAAAACCCACATAAACTACTCACAGCGCAGCCGGATACGCAGATTCGGGGCCGAGACTCGGTCGTCCTGACGGAGAGAGAGCCGCGAGAGATGAAAGACGAAGAGGACGATGACAGATACGACAACGAAGTATTGGCGGCGGGAGGAGACGACAGAGCCAGCGACGCCATTGTATTATAAATATGTATACACGCCTATATAACTCCTCCGGCACACACACTCCCAACGAAATTCGAAGAATTGAGAACTGATCAGAGAAATCAGGGTTTAGGGTTCCGAGATTCAGACAATATCAGAGAGGAGAAGCAGAAGAAGAAGGAGAGAGGGAAGCTGATGGTCTCTGTAGTGCCCGTTTAATCGGTGGTGGTGAAGGTCTTCTGTCTTTCTCCGCGGACCACGACACTTGGATTTTCTTTTGTTTCTCTTTTATATGAAAAATTAGGGATCGTAATCGTACGGTGAGATAACGACGTCGTTTTCCGCGTCCAAAGGATTTGAATTAAAAAAGGAAGACCATCATCAGCTTTATCTATCTACCACGGGGGCGTAGTTTGACAGTTGATAAGTATTTTACACATGATAAATTTAAACATTACGTAACCACCCATAAAAAATAAATCACACTGATTATTTCTAATTGGTTAGAAGCAGCTTTGCCCATTTAGTTAAATCGCACTAGACGCTTTATCATTATTTATATATTATATATGGCTATCAAGTGAGTGAATGCATATTAATGATACATGGCATCCACACCGCACTTGGATGAATTTACACTCGTCAATGCATGCACATGAACTAACAATTGTCACCTATGCAAAAAACACAGAATCTACTGATTTTTTTTTTAAAAAGTTAATCCTTAAATTTTCTTGGGGTTATCTCTTGTCAAAGATTAGGTTTTCCAATTAATTTTCCATTTAAAAAATCAGATTTTTTGTGTGCATCAAAACTGCAAAATAAATGGTAGAAAGTAATTAATATTTTCAGATTCTCTTCTTGGTTTCCTATTTGATTTCTAATCTAAAACAACTTCTTCTATTCACAAAACCTAGTTATTCTTTTCCTTGTTTGTTTGAATATAATACCAATTACGCACGTCTCTACCCAACTGTTTTTTTTGACACGTTCTCCACCTTAATATAAATCCGATAATACATAAATTGCAAATCTTTCTATTAATTTGATTAAAATAAAAATAAGTTTTAAGACAAAAGAAAAGTACTCCTTTTTTGGGTAATTTGATTTTTTTTGCCAAATTTCCTACCTGCAACTTCTAGGCAGAGATAAATATTTTAATTGTAACACATCTTTAACAAACACCCCCCCAAAAAAAAACAATTTACAAAAAAAAAAAAGGGAGTAGATTATAGATTCAAATCCGATATTCAATATAACGTTTGCCCCCTACTACGTGCTTCAGATTATAGATTCAAATATATATTGTACCATCATTCTCCCTCTTTCAGCTGTTGTTTTAAAGATCTACACAATCATTTTGGATACATCTTTGTCATTGTTGGACAAAAACAAAGGCCAGCACTCTCAAAGACTAAGTCAAAAGTTATATGCTTCAATAATATACAGTCACAAGAACTTCAAAACATATTCTCTTCGCAAAGCATTTTCATAAGTTCAAGGTTTATGTACTTTTGTATTGACCTGATCATCAATCTAAATACTACAGCTTGTATCTGTATAAGAAGGCAGGGTCTGATAAATGATAATAACCAAGTCAGATACCTATAAAGAAGTTCAGAGATATACCCTATTTCGTCTATCTAAAGTTCCCATACTGAGTAAAAAATAAGAAACACTAGCAAAACCTAGACATGAAGAACCAAATGCTGCATAGCTCAACGTGAAGTAAATGTTTAATGTGGAATCAGATTCTTGTTTTTTTGTGTTGGGGGGGGGGGGCATGTTTCATACCGCCAAGAAAACCGAAGAAGAAAATTCGCAGTCAAAAAGGTTTGTCTATTGGGACCAGAAGAATGGGAATACTTTGATTATAATGATGAGAATAACGGATTTGGACATATGTACCTTATCCAGAGAAAGCACCATTGGCCTCAGAGTCCGAGCTTATCCGGAAATGGTCACTTAAGAGATTGCTTCACCTGCAGAGGTAAATGAAAGAAGAAGCATGGGATAGGAGCATAATATATAAGAGAAGCTAGTTGCTTATTGGTAACTTACATAGCATCAAACTGTATGTCCCTAGATAAGCATGAGAGATGAAGTTTGTGCCACAGGGGAGAGTTTTAGGTTGTCGAAGAGCATGAAAGCTCGGTGATTTCCATGTTTTCAAGTAACTGGGTGATGATATTTGTTTTGGACAAAACCGATTCCAAGAGACATAGTTGGATCAAAGACCATTAGCAATGGCTTTGTAATGTTAATTAGGTTGAAGGTCATTTCACTGGTTTTTTTCTTGATAATTGAGTTCTTATTACTCCATTAGCAGAAATCAAAATCACTGCACAAAGGGTATAAGTCCATCACTTGAAGAGCCAGGAAATAATCAAAGATTATAACATTTCTGCATTCAATCATCTGAACTATTTCCGGCAATTTATTTCCCTAAGAAGCCTCATCAGTCAACAACATTTGATCCATTTCATCGAAACCTAAACATATCCTTGTCACAATTACTCACTTCCCCCACGATTAGACTACATCAAGTACCGAAAAAGAGCGAATCGAACCGTGATTCCTCCAATCGGACTCCGAAAACATAGAAATCCACATACATATAGGTATATGCATTCATGTATTGAAGCGAGTACCTGAGAAAAAAGACTATTGACGCATCGGATGAAGATGCTTGGCAGTGGAATTCACGGCCTGTGACATTTGATCGGAGACGGCCAATTTTGCCGGTCCGGTCACAGGCGTCCCTCGCATATACCGTCGCCGTCGCCGTCGCCATTTTTCACAAAAAATGAACATTTCCGTTTCTGAAACCAAAGGACGCACGTGTTAAATAGATATTTCAAATGGAGCCCTATATTTATTCATCTATATCAAAATATTCCCGATATTTAATTTATTTACATTAGGCCCTCCCACGAACGTTGAAATCGAGATAAGATCAACTATACGCTGACCATATGTAAATAGTTAAATTAATACGGGAGTTAAAACAAATAGTTGGTCAATAAACCGAATTTTGGTTTGCGGTTCACAATCGGTATAATAACTGAATACCAAACCGGCCCAAACCATAAAATCCAGGTGGCTCGGTCTAATCCTCTCCCCTGTTATTTCCCAGTCTACGAAGCTTAACTAATCTATCTACAATGGCGGCAGTGGAATCAGCTCTCCTCTTCTCCTCTTCTCCCACACTTTCTTCTTCCCCGAAACTCTATATTTTCAGCAAATCCACCGTTCTAAATCTTCGAATTCGCAGTTTTTACCCTTCTCTTTCGCGCAATTTACCTCTATGCCCCGGCGGCGGCCACTCTCGGCGGCTCGTCTCCGCCCTATGCTCCGTCGCAGAGGAAGAAACATCGCTGGAGGAAAAAACTGACGGAACCCAGAACACAAATGTGAAAAAGAAGCTCTTTGTCTTCAATCTTCCATGGTCTATGAGCGTCAATGACATCTCGGAGCTGTTCGGACAATGTGGAACCGTGTCTGATGTCGAGGTTTTGATTCCCTGTCTTTTTTTATATCTCAATCTCTCGAGATTTTTTCTTTTTTCGCGCTGGGTCATATCAAGTTTTGATTGCAGATTATAAAGCAAAAAGATGGGAAGAATCGAGGGTTTGCTTTCATTACAATGTCTTCTGGAGAAGAAGCTCAAGCAGCTGTTGATAAGTTTGATGCTTATGTAAGCTCTCGTTATTGTCCTCTCTCTTGCTCTATTATTAGGTTCCATGATTTCAGTTTCAGGTATGATTTCAACCACAAAGCTAGAGCCCATGCCCCATATCAAATTCCAAATTAAACTCCCTATACCTTTGTCACATTGTTCTCTAATTGATGCAAATCCAAAGATTCTTGATGCGGTCAACTCACATAATGCTGCAAAGCAATCGGTCCACCCGGTTCGCCAAAAAAAACCCAATCCACTATACACATGAGATTCCGAACCAAACCAAACAACTGAGTCAGAGTTAGGCAGCTGGAAGTAAGGAACTCTGCGTCAATACCTTTAACTGCAGAACGTGACTTCTTCCACTCTTCCCATTTGTTCCTTGTTCTCAGGAAGATCACTCCTTTGTTCTCTTCCCATATAAAAAGATAAAAGCATAATGAATAAAGCAGAATTTTTTTTTATCTGGAATCTAGTACTCTTATGATCCATAGTTTTGATTGGGACATCATTGGTATCAGAGCCGCACTTCTCCACCCTTATTTCGTCGGTGATCCGGACCACTCTTACGTGGTATCACGATAGCTATAAACAAAGAACGAATCGAGATGCTTGAAACTGACCATTCAAACATCCACGGTGAGCTTGTCCAGATGAAGACGACAATGGCAGATCAATCTCGACACTTGGAGACATCACTCAATCGCCTCACAGAATCATTTTCCAATGTTCATGTTGGCTCCACATCTGACTGAGGTAAACAACCAAACAGTCAACCGAATCAACACTCTGCCGCATTGGAAAAGGATTCTGTGAGGCGATTGAGTGATGTCTCCAAGTGTCGAAATTGATCTGCCATTGCCGTCTTCATCTGGACAAGCTCATCGTGGATGTTTGAATGGTCAGTTTCAAACATATCGATTCGTTCTTTGTTTATAGCTATCGTGATACCACGTAAGAGTGGTCCGGATCACCGACGAAATAAGGGTGGAGAAGTGCGGCTCTGATACCAATGATGTCCCAATCAAAACTATGGATCATAAGAGTATTAGATTCCAGATAAAAAAAAATTCTGCTTTATTCATTATGCTTTTATCTTTTTATATGGGAAGAGAACAAAAGATCACGTAACAGTGATCTTCCTAGAAACAAATAGGAAACAAAGAGTGGAAAAAGTCACGTTCTGCCGTTAAACTTAAAGGTATTGAGGCAGATTAGTTCTCCCTTATTTTCAGCTAATTAACTCTAACTCAGTTGCTTGGTTTGGTTCGGTATTCCAGATGTATCGTGGATTGGGTTTTCTGTGGCGAACCGGGTAGACCGATCGGTTTGCAGCATTATGTGAGTTGACCGCATCAATTCTCCTCTGGTGAAGAGTAAGGTTTGTTTCTTTTAGAAAGAGTCTAGATCGATAGCATGGAATCTAAGAAAGAAATGAGAGAAGTTTTACTGGTTTAAGTCACACATTGCACCCAATGGTTTGATTTTATTCATGAATATCTGAGCTCTCTTTCTGTGGTTATCTTCCAGCAAGTCTCTGGAAGGATTATAAGGGTGAGCTTTTCAAGAAGGTTCAAAAAACCTCGACCAGCACCCACTCCTCCTCCTCCTCCTGGCTCCAGAGAAACACGTCACAAGCTCTACATATCAAATCTGGCTTGGAAAGCAAGATCAACCCATCTGCGGGACTTTTTTGCTGCTGCAGATCTCAACCCGGTTTCGGTTAAGGTTGTCTTTGACACCCCCGAAGGAAGAGCTGCAGGCTATGGCTTTGTCTCGTTCGCTACTAGAGAAGAAGCCGAAACTGCAATTTCCAAGCTCAACGGGAAGGTAAAAAAAGTTTGGTTTGCTGTCCTTTCCCGAGCCAGAGACAAGCATAAAGTTCCTGTCTTTATGCTCACTGGATCATTGTTCATCATAAAGTTTGCATCTTTAGCTTTTGATCTTTGGTTTTTACTCTTCATCAGGAGCTAATGGGCAGACCCATCAGTTTAAAGTTCAGCGTAAGGACTGCCAGCGAATCTGAAGACGAGGATGGAGCCAAGGACGGTACTTCTCAAGAGGAACCCACAGAATAAACATTCTTCATTCTCTGTGTTGTGTTTCTCTTATGATGGCATGGTAACATGAGAATTTGACTGTCCATCAATTTATTGCAATTTCGATTGTCTTCTTTCTGCTGCATAGTCTTCAGTATCCAGAATACATTATTGTGATATAATTGACGTAAATGTATAAGATATTAAGATTGTCTCGGTTTACCAGTACCAAACATGATTCAGTTTGGTTCTGTCTGATACGAAAAGATCGGTACAGTATCACAATTCACAGTTGAGAGTGGCAAACCGAAGAACTACAAGGAGAGAAGAGGAGATTTCAAAGTCATAATCTACAACAACAAACAGAACAAGCAGTACACATACATACAACTCTACAACTATATCGACCTCGACCGGAGTTGTTAAAGCACAGGAAAAAAGGAGAGATTTTTACCTTTCTCCGATCCATAAAGGCAGAACCTTTATTCAATGTCATCAATCCAATCGCCATATATCCTACTGATTTTCTCCGGACCCTTCCATTTCTGAAGTGTTCTGATTCCCGGCTTCTGGGTGACGATGGAAGAATGCCGTTGAGATGTGACACTGGCATGGTAACTAACCTCGGAATGAGGAACTCCTGAGGGTAAAATGGTCGTTATGTCTACCGGCCCTTTCGGGTTTGGTCCCATCTGCTTTGCATCAGGAGCGGCCGAGGATCCGTCCCTGGCTTCCCCTTCTACGAGTCCCCCGCCATACCTATGCAACTCTGGCGCATGCATAAAGAGGCAAACAACTTCAAAACTTTCCAAATTTCTGGCAACCATTATGATATAACAACAACCAGATCAAGAATCCACTACACTTGACATTGAATTCCCGGGGTTCAACAGCTCAAAACAAGGCTTTTTCATGAGAAACTATCAGAGGGTCATCCTTTTGAATGAGATTAACAGCCTATGCATACAGATTCAACATACTTATGCTCAGCTCAGAGCCTAAGAAATAACAGGAATCTCTCCCTGCCAAGCTTGCAGGATAGCCCTTTGTGCTTAACGCATAGCCCTCAGCCCACTTACCACCACTCACAACCACAAGAAACATTGGTTATCTATTCTACCTTCTGTAGGCATTAAAAGATTGATCACCTTGAGAGCAGAAATCGGTTTTATCAGTAGCTTTCAACCCACTGGCTTAAGCCTTTTGACAACCTCTGAATAACAGTCTAACCATTCCATCAAGCAACACTATCCTACATTTTACGAAATCGAAGTTGTAACTACGAAAAAAAGTCCATTAATTGACAGAAAAAGGAGCGCCCTTTTACCTGCAGCTCCATGAGCAAAATGGCACTTCGCACCAAAAGGGCAATACCCCGTAATCTCCCACTTGTTGCAAATCCTTGTCTTCCAATTCGAAGGCTTTAGATTCTGAGCTCCACTTCCGCCGCTAACGGCATCGGCACTAACACTGCCGCCACCGCCGCCATTGCCGCCGGGACCACCAGAACCGCCGCCGCCACCACCACCACCTCCTCCTCCTCCTCCTCCTCCACCATATCCACCGGGACCTAAACTGATCGCAACGCTCTCTCTGTTCCGCGAAGCCTCATCGTGCATAAACGTACAGCTGTCGCCGTACGGACACCCTTCTTCGGTGTAGAACTTCTTACAGTGCCTTCCCTTGTAGGATCTCCCGCTTTCAGTCACAGAAGAGACCAAGGACGGGATCTGAAACTCTTCCCGTCGCTCCGCTGCGATGGTGGTGACGATGGCGGATTTCTCGTCCCCGTGAGCCGCAACGATATCTTGCCAATTCGGCGGCGGCCGGCGTAGCTCCTCCACGCTGTGTGCGAAGTTGCAGTTGGTAGGGTACGGGCAAGTCCCGGTACGGAACTTGCAACAGAGCTTCGTCTTGAAGAACATCTTCCCGATAGCCTTGGCTCGGTTGCTCGCGGCGGTGGAGGAGGACGACGGCGACAACCCCCGCGTCTTCTTGCTCGGCGGAGCAGTATCGCCGGAGGAATCTGGGTTCACCGCCCAGACGCGGTTGTAGTCGTCCTCCGTGGCCCAGACGGCGCTGTCACCTGGAATCGGTAACCAATTCTCCGGCGGATTGTTCGTCGGTATAACGTGAACTACATCTCCGCCGGAATCCCGCCGATGACTCATCGCATGGACCGAGACAAAACCCAACCCTAATTTCTCTGATCGAAGAGATGACCCAGCGATCAAATCTTCAAACTTTCCCCAAATTCAAGGAAAAGCTGGGAAATTTGGCAAGCTCCAGATATGGGTAATCTCGAAAAACATCAAATCCATCGCTTCGCGACGAATTTTCAGGTCCTTCGAACGAAGGGAAGGCGAAATCGGGAAATGGGTAGCGAACGGATAGAAGAGATGGAGGAGGCGAAAACAGTAGCAAGCCCACTCGAAACTCTTTTCAGGATCGGAGAATCAGAAGATGATTGCTGAGAAAATGTACGCAGAAATGAAGAATAAATTGTTAGGAATTATCCTGAGCTCGCAAGCAAATGAAAAAAAAAAGGGGAAGTAACGAAATTTTGAGTCCTTGGATAAGATGTTGGTTGATTAGGACACCAATTTAATTAAAGCAAACGCAAGTTCAAGAATCAAGACGATTACGGTCACGTGATTGAGTGGCTTTTAATTTTGTGAATATTTTCTATTAATTTGGGTAAAAATTGGAAATATAATTAATAAATTAAGCATCTGATAGTTGCCGTCTTCTCGTAGCTCGATGGTTTGTGGGGTTGCAGATATATCCACGGCTGTCGTGTTCGAATCTCGGCGAGAGAGAAGAAGAGAGAGAAGAAATAGTTCCCATAACATATGAGGTATTCTAAAATACCTCTCTTTTTTTATAAAGACTTTATGATTTTTTTTTCTCGTATACATAAATAAATAAATAAAACTCTAAAGGGCACAAATCATTAAGCGAAAAAATTGGAAACAATTTCATAATTGCGCAAAAGCAAAATGTTTGAGCAAAGGTGTGTATGGAATTAATATGAGAAGTAACAACGAATATCTGGTTGCAAGAAGAATTTTATCAAACAAATAAATGATCCACATTTTTTTCTCTCTATTTACCGGTAAGGCACCACGCTCGCGCTTGTTATTAACAAGTAATTACCAAACAATCACCTACTAATTAAGACAAAAAAAAATTCATAAATACATGCAAAAAATAACGAAACTTTACACTGAAATTACGGTCAGACCAATCGAATATTTATAGATAATACAACAACCATCATGGAACAGATGTTATATACTACGATCAAGGAGCTTTCTCAAGGAATAAAAACATAAGGAAATTTTATTTTTAATGTGGGAAAAGAACAAAGGAGGAAGAAAACGGAATAATTAATATTAGCGAATTAAATAATTTCAAGAAAGGAGGCGGCGGTGATCTTGCTGCTGAAGACTGATGAGCTTGGAGTAAGGACCGTTCTTGTTGTCGAGGAGGGCGGAATGGGAGCCTTGCTCTATGATCTTACCGTCTTGTATTACACTTATCGTGTCGGAGTTTTTTATGGTCGACAGCCTGTGAGCCACCACCACCGTCGTCCTGTTCCTCATCAGCCGGTCCAATGCTTGTTGCACCTATTCCCAACCCAAAAAAAAAAAATTTAAAGCTTCAACGTTTGATGTTGAGTTTGGACCGACTTTTTATGTATTTTTATTATGAATAAAACACGGGTTTTGACATGTAATAATACATTTTCATGCAAAAACTCCGATTAATAGAAATCTATACTTTGGGTAATACTATATATATACTCGTTGTGTATAAAAAAATCTTATTGTCTTTTAGCATAATTTACGTTTTATCAAAAAATAATAATAATAAAGAGAGGGAGTTGAGAGAGAGAGAGAGAGAGAGAGATAAACTTACCACGCGTTCGGATTCGACGTCCAAGGCACTGGTGGCTTCGTCGAGGAGGAGAATCTCGGGGTTCTTGAGAACGGCTCTCGCAATCGCGATTCTCTGACGCTGACCGCCGGAAAGCTGAACGCCGCGTTCTCCCACTTTGGTGTTGTAACCTTCCGGCAGAGAGCTTATGAAGCTGTCCGCGTTTGCCAGCTTCGCTGCTTCCTTCACCTCCGACTCAGACGATCCCTCTTTTCCGTACAGTATGTTCTCGTAGATCGTCGTCCCGAATAGCGCCGGTTCTTGTTGTACCAATCCTATGTGTTTCCTCAGTGATTTCAGCCTCAGCTTCTTGATGTCCTGTCCTGAAATCCGGTATAGCCGCAAAGAATTCGGTATGAGAACAGACCAGTTTGGCACGGTCTAGTTTCTTAATTCGGACCAAACCCTCATAATACTCTGTTTATTCAACAATGGTTACTAATTGATCCAACCAAAACTAAACCGCAATTTCTCGGTTAAGTGCTATGGCCACCAAATAATCCAACCCAAACTAACCGAAATTTATCGGTTAAGTGCTATCTTAGAGATTCGGTTTAGCCATAAAACCGGGTAAGGAATTTGGTATAAGCACGAGGTTATCAAAATCAGACCGGTTTGGCACAGTTTAGTTTCTTAATTCGTACTAAACCCTCATAATGCTCGGTTTATTCACCAATGCCCACAAACTAATCAAACCAAAACTAAACCAAAATTTCTCGGTTAAGCGCTATGCCGGAGACAACCAACCAGTTTCATGTAGGTTTAGGCTCGCTCGGGACGCAAGAATTGTGATTGATGTTCAGAAAAGAGTAGTAGTAGTAGTAGTTACTAACCGTCAATGAGCACGAGGTGAAGAAGAGAAGAGTACGCTCCATTAGGGTTAGAGATGAGCTCGTCATGGCTTCCGGTCTCAACGATCTTCCCTTCTTGAACCACAGCGATGATATCGGCGTTTCTGATGGTGGACAACCTATGAGCCACCACCACTGTTGTCCTCCCGACCATCACTCTGTCCAGTGCCTCCTGTACGCTCTTCTCCGACTCGGCGTCTAGAGCGCTCGTCGCTTCGTCCAAGAGAAGGACCGACGGGTTCTTCACGATCGCTCTCGAGATTGCTATCCTTTGTTTCTGTCCTCCTGAAAGCTGGATTCCTCTCTCCCCCACCTGGCAGACAAAATTACCAGGTTTTCGCAGTTGCTGCTTGTGTTCTAAGGTATCCATCCCGGGATAATTTGATTTTTTTCGCGATTTTCCATACCTTTGGGGGGAAAACTTTTTGAGAATTTACGTGAGTAACATACCTGTGTCTCGAACCCATCAGGGAGATTGTTGATGAATGACAAAGCCTCTGAAAGCTTCGCTGCTCGGGTAATCTCCTCAACGGTAGCATCATCCTTTCCGTACAAAATATTCTCACGGATGGTCGTGGCGAAAAGAGCAGGCTCTTGATTCACCAAACCGATCTGATTCCTCAGCCACTTGAGATCAAGCTCTCTCACGACGTTCCCGTCGAGCAAAACCCCACCTGAGATGGGCTCATAGAACCGTTCGATCAGAGATATCACCGTGCTCTTCCCGGACCCGCTCCCTCCGCTCTGTCCGACCAATGCCATACTCTTCCCAGAACGCACTCTCAGATTGAAATCGCGGAAAATCACGACGTCAGGCCGCGAAGGGTAGCTGAAGTGAACGCCCTTCAGCTCAATCGTGCCTTCCACGCCGCCGGTGAGCTCTTCACCCGCGTCTCCGACAACCTGCGTTTTCCTGTCCAACAGTTCAAACACCGAAGCCACCATTTGATTCCCCTTGAGAAGATCTGGAGCCAGAGCAAGCGTTTCGCCCATCGCCAACGCTGTCACGATCAGAACCATGAACGTTTTCATCACCGATTTGAAGCTCGCTAGCCCCTTCCCCATCAAAACCGATCCATACCTATCACAATACCATCAAAAGTCTCCATCTTTGTTTTACTATTATGACATAGAAAATGCCTGAATACACATATACACACGCATATATACCAGAGGGCGAGGCCGTAGGAGGAGAAGATGAAGAACTGGGAGATGCCATAGAAGATTCCAGCGATCTGTCCACGCTTGAAGGAACGTTTAGAAGGTTCCAGAAGCTCTCTAGAGTAAAGATCTAGAACTTTCTCCTCGGCGCAGAAAGCGGCCACTGTCCTGATGTTGCTCACTGCCTCTCCTGCCAGCATGTTGGCTTTTAAGTACGCTTTGCTCAAGTTTCCTCCATAGCCTTGCATGAAAAGTTTCTACAAACGCAAGAATCCGTAAGTACATATCCAAATTATGACGAAATCTCGGGTTAGCTCGTGGAAAAGCTGAGATTTTTACGAATTTACCTCACTGATATGGCCGCTTATGACCAAAGGATAAGTAGCTAAGACCACTAAGGTGAGTCTCCAGTTGAGTATGAAGGCTATGATGAAAGAAGTGGCGACAAGGCCGACGTTTTGGAGAAGAATCGTCGATCTGTCGACAACGATCGTTTTCAGCAAAGTGGCGTCGCCCTCCAGACGCGAAGCCAGCATCGAGCTCGTGTTGTTCACGTCGTCGAACCATCCTATCTCGTTCCTCAGAATCGCTGCAATGAAAACGCAGGAAATATGAAATCGTTTGATTTGGGTTGAGATGGTACAGTTTTGTGAGAGTCGTTACCCGAAAACATCATTTCACGGACGCGGAGAGTTAAACGTTCTCCCATAATGCCGAAACTCAAATGCTCGATGGTGTAAACTATGACAGTGACGACAGAGGCACAACAGAAGAGGACAGCGATCCGCTTAACCTCGTGTTGAGTTGTGTCCCAGTCCATGTAATAAGAGACGAGGGCCTGCGAAACACCGAGCGCGAATAGCGGCATCTGAGCTCCGGCAACTAATGCTCCGAACGTGCCCGATACACCGTACGGCCAGTCTGGTCGAATCATGGAGTAGAGACGGCTCGGTGTGACCTTTATCTGTTTGGATGGATCGGTCATGTCCGGGCGAGTCACTGAGTCTCTCTCCGAGCAGAAACTAGCGTTGAAACTCGTTCTTGTTCTCGATAGCTCACGCGAGTACTTCAAGCTGGGAGAAAATCGACAATCCAGATCCAGGAACAAGATTTTTTTTCCTTCAGAAACTCAACTATAGAAATCACAATTCAGAGAATTATGAAGATTGGTACCTGTGAGGCCTGCTAAGAGTACGGTTCAGAGAAGGATGACGCTGGAGAGAAGAGGATTCTTGGAGGTGAAGAAGAGAAGAGTACGCTCCATTAGGGTTAGAGATGAGCTCGTCATGGCTTCCGGTCTCAACGATCTTCCCTTCTTGAACCACAGCGATGATATCGGCGTTTCTGATGGTGGACAACCTATGAGCCACCACCACTGTTGTCCTCCCGACCATCACTCTGTCCAGTGCCTCCTGTACGCTCTTCTCCGACTCGGCGTCTAGAGCGCTCGTCGCTTCGTCCAAGAGAAGGACCGACGGGTTCTTCACGATCGCTCTCGAGATTGCTATCCTTTGTTTCTGTCCTCCTGAAAGCTGGATTCCTCTCTCCCCCACCTGGCAGACAAAATTACCAGGTTTTCGCAGTTGCTGCTTGTGTTCTAAGGTATCCATCCCGGGATAATTTGATTTTTTTCGCGATTTTCCATACCTTTGGGGGGAAAACTTTTTGAGAATTTACGTGAGTAACATACCTGTGTCTCGAACCCATCAGGGAGATTGTTGATGAATGACAAAGCCTCTGAAAGCTTCGCTGCTCGGGTAATCTCCTCAACGGTAGCATCATCCTTTCCGTACAAAATATTCTCACGGATGGTCGTGGCGAAAAGAGCAGGCTCTTGATTCACCAAACCGATCTGATTCCTCAGCCACTTGAGATCAAGCTCTCTCACGACGTTCCCGTCGAGCAAAACCCCACCTGAGATGGGCTCATAGAACCGTTCGATCAGAGATATCACCGTGCTCTTCCCGGACCCGCTCCCTCCGACCAGAGCCACGATTTTTCCGGCAGGGATGTGGAGGTTAAGCTTGTCGAATATGATGACATCTGGCCGAGATGGGTAGCTGAAAGTCACGTCCTTGAAATGGATATACCCGTCAACTTTCATGAGTGTACGGCCGGACTTCGAGGCGGTTTTGGACAGCGTGTTCCGTTCGATCATCTGGAAGATCGGATAGGCTGCAGCTTTTGCCCGCACGAAGGCGGAAATGTCGGGAGCTGCCTGTCCCAGAGAGCTGCGAAAACGAAAAATCTCGTTTTGTTTTTGCCTGAATATTAGTGGTAAAACAGCAAAGCACTGATAAGAAAAGACAAGCTTACTTACAGGCCAGCGATGACGACGTTGAGCATAGTGGTGAAGGATTCTCCGCCATTGGCGATGCCCTTGTGGACGACGATGCTTGTGAACCACACGAGCAAAGCCCACGACAGGAACAGAACACAATGCATTGAACCAAGCCCTAGTCCTTTGGTTAATCCAGCTTTCCTTCCGTACTTGTAAGTGTTCTTGAGAGCATCTCTGTACGATCTCACCGCTTTTTCCTCCCCTGCAAATGCTTGTACTGTCCTCACGTTTCCTATCACCTGATCAGAAAGACAGATATGAACACACCAAATAAACACTCAAGTTAGCATAATCGAACCGAAACCTCGTATCAAAGTTTGGAACAAACCCTTATGAATTTCTCCTTGATTGTTATCTCAAGTCAAGAACTCAAAACTAGTTTTGGTAGTTTCCGGTTCAAGACCGAACCGGGATGAATAATCAACGTTAAAAGGTTGCCCGAGTTTGACTCACCTCTTCTGCAATCTCACCTGCCTTGACGTAGGATTTCCGGACTCGGGCAAGCAAACCGGTGGCGACGAAAGCGTAGATGCCGCCAGCGAGAGCTATGAGGGGGACAATGGAGAGCGTAACCAGACTTATTTGCCATACCCTCGCGAACCCGATGGCAAAACCGGCTATGAACCGGCTTATGTAGTGCAAGAAGTTCCCTACCTGCAACAAAAACCGGTGGTAAACCGGATCCGGTTATCCCATCAACCGGGAATGTATGATCCCTACATAGTCTTATCCACTATTCCTAAACCGGCTAATTGCATATATATGTGGGCTGTAAAGTGAGCATAAATTCGGGCATTCTTTGCAACAAAAGATAGTCTCGAGCATCGTTTCTAAACATCATGGAGCAAAGAGCAAAGAGAACTAAGGTTTTTGAAAATATAAAATAAAACAGAATAAAATAAATGGGGAGCTAACACAACCGCCTTATAAATGCGATGCAGCTATATATATATATAACCTAATTAATGACCAAGCATTTATTATTTTACATCTAAAAGACAGAAAAACATAATGAAGACATAATATTGAATATACTTTTTCTGTGGTGTGAAAAATATAATAATGAAAAGAGCTACGCATGCACATCATATGAGCTATATAAATATAAATATATATATATATATATATATCTTTTTCCCTGATTTTCCAATATGACTTTTAGTTTTTATATGTGTTAATTAGTGATGCAATCCACATTAATGCTGACGAAGAAAAATAGCAGCGCAATTATTCACTGAATGAACTAACACGAAATTAGTAATTCTCCGGCTAAAATACATTATTGAATTAATCACTCTTCTTTTTTGGGCAAAGTGTCGTGATCATTGTAGACCTACCCGATAATTCAAATGCCCTAAATACCCGGTTACACTTAATAAGAGAATTATCATATATATACATATATATATAATTTATAAATCAACACCGGTACGGTTAACCCTGATACCGGATCCGGTTAATCATGGTTAAAGAACGGAAATGACCTTTACCTTCTCGGAGAGGGCGTCTTGGACGACGATGATGTCGCTGGTGATGGCGGAGATGACTTCGCCGGTAGAAGCTTCGGTGTCGAATAAGCTAATGTCTTGGCTCAGCATCGACCGCAGATACGCCCTTCTCATCTTCGCCGCCTGTCTCTCCCCCGTGTGCATCCAACACGCCACCTCTTTTTTTTTTTCATTTTAATTTCATCAATTTCATATATATATATATAAGTTGTAATCAATATTGTTATAATATTTCAATTTGGATCGAATCGGATATTTGATTGTTACCTATCCATGATGAGAATAGTATCGCCACACTCAGATACACGAAATCCAGCGAATACTGCAAACAACGCAAATCACTCGCTATGCATATACATACATATACGTATATACACACATATATAGAGAGAGAGAGTTATGGAATTAGGGTTTTGAGATTACGAGTACGCAGTTCGAAAGTAGAGGGCAGTGAAAAAAAAAAAAGAAGAATGCATATTTTAAGATGAGTTCATTCACTGATCCATGCAATTATGAATTTTGATTTGGTGGAATCGCTTACTCGAAACCCTAATTTTAAAACCTGTGAGGCACAGAAAACCATTAATAATATTCCAAGAGAATAATTGCCCACACCCCCCATATATATATATATATATATATATATATATATATATATATAATCAGGGAAATTAAAATAATTTTAATAATTTTCGAGACTTCAAAAAAAAAATTCACCTTGGCGACTTGGGGAGAAGCTTGTTTAGGGAAGAGGTAAGCGATACCGATGATATTGATGAGTTTACCGAAGAAGATGAAGAAGACAGGAACCGAAGCGCCATGAACGCACGCTCCCATGGATCCGACGGCCATTAAAACGTAATCGTAGAAATCGGCGAAGGAGAATAGCTTCACCAGCGACACCTTCACCTGCTTCTTCGTCTTCTTCTTTTCATTCATCTCCGCCGGATCCACGCCGACTTTCTCGCCGGAAAACGGTATCTCCGGCGACATTTTAGGGTTTTTCCGGTGCTTGGATGGAGAGAAAATGGAGGGGAAGTGAGAGAAGGATGGCTAAGCGAATGGAATAATAAAGAGGAGGGAAAGTTGGTTCGGGAGGAAGAAGAAGATGAGTTATTTAATGCGAAGACACATAGTTGTTTGTTGTGACATTACATCTTTTTAGTACGTAGTTTAGTGTTTAGCCTCACTGGCCCCTCGTAATTGTAACGTATTAGTCCACAATCATTTATGTCCTTGATCCACATTAATACATTATATATATATATATGCATTGACAAATTCAAAATGCTAATAAATTTAGTCTTAATTCATATATATACATATATATATATAGGGATTGAATTTATTGGGCATGCTAGGGTTGTCTCTAGTAATCTAATGGCTACTTTTTTGTTGCGAAAGTCTACCCGTTTGTTTTACTAATTAATCATAATAAGGATTTTATCGGATATAAAGGAACAGGGTTTTTAAAATATTTTTTTTTGTATTGTGAATCTTAAATATTACCTTGTTTCTGAAAAAAGAATGAATTCCTTTAATGTTTGACGCTAGCCGTTGTAATTTTCTCACGGATCTGATTGATTAAAGGCATTTTTCACGTGATATTGGGTTTTAATTATCATGAAAAGTTTTAACAATATTCCAGGATGTATATATATAATTCGACTTCTACAAGTATGGTGTATATATATATATATATAAATAGAATATTGAGTACATGTCCATGCATTCGAAGCATTTCTAATAAACGCCGAATAAACACGTATGTATAGGAATTGCGGTTGTTATTATGTGGACTTTTATTTGCTGTAACTGTGGTATTAAAATTGTCATTAGTAGAATTTAGTTTAAAACTAAATTGGAAGTGTTGATATATCCACATGAATATATGTTATTATACAATCCAATGCCTATTTAGAAAATTTGGATGATGTGAAACCAAGTTTTTGGATCGATGTTAATTAATATCTGACGTATCACTATCACTTATCTCTAAAAATAACTGCCGAAATATGAATTGTTATATACATATCAACGACAATTGATGGTTTCATTTTCATATTAAAAAATTTATATAATTATATATTATTATTGTGAAAAAAAAATCGGGGGCCTATTCCATTACTAAATTACAAAACTTATCAAACTAACTAGAAAGCCATCACTCCATGCAACACTTGCCCGAACCATACCCCCCGATTCGGATGAGTTTGTTTTTCTGACGTGTGACTGCGATGTGTTTAGGACCAATAACAACCCGCCACGTTTCGGATATGTTTATTCCTGAGAAAAGTGACGAAGTCTTCGTGTTGACTCAGTTTATTGCCACGTCGGATAATTGACGAATTAACTTTACCTCACGTATATATTTGACTTTTTCACACCCGGTAAAAAGCTTAATGGCATTATACAAACCGACACTGCTTTTGAACTTTTAATTACTTTAATTCACACAATAACCAACACTCCATGTGCAATTTAAGGAATAATAGCTCATTACATATATATTTTTTATATAAATGACCCACTATATATATATATACACATGTGATAGGATGATTTTTTAAAATAAATATTTGATTTTGACGCTTAGAATCGTCCTTTTCTATTTTGCTTTTGAAGACGATATTGTTTTCAACGCTTTAATGGGCCGGCCCAAGAAGACTTTTTGCACCTGCCCTATGACAGGAGCATATGTATGTATATTTATATACGCGGGGATATGTATGTATAGTAATTGTATTTCGTGTTATTTTGTAGTTAGTTGTTTAAGTTGCACGCATTTTGGGGAATTAAATCATTAGAATTATCACCCCTAAATTACCCCTCCATGAAATAACGAATGTTGCATGTGCAAGACCAAAGGCCAGTAGAGCACGAGGCCCGTTATTAATGAGACACGTGGACACTCATGGCCCCATTCTTTACACAGAAAGAACATGTCTAGTTTCGTAATTTTCCTTCCTAAGAGTCAAGACCCTCAGATTTCAATTTCATAGCCTCTCTCTCTCTCTGTCTCTCTGTTTGTTCATCTGTTTTCGGAATCGGAGAATCCTCTCACTGGCAGGCAACTTCGTTAACGCAGTTTCGGCTTGGCATTGGTAGAAACCCTAGGGCATCGATCGGTTGAATATTTCTTCGAACCCATAGTTGACTTCAATCATCGGAATGGGCGGTGCTAAGGGCAGGAATAGCAGTGGCGAGAGCGAGACATCCACGAGCGATTCAGCCGGCGGCGTAGGCTCTACGGTGGCGGCGCAGACTCAGCAGCC